GATATACGCTTCCGGAATGCCGAAGAAGTGCGAAGATGGGTGGATAACAGGATTGCCTCAAAAGATGAAGACTTTTTTAGACCCGGAGTCAACAAGATACCAAAAAGATAGCAAGAAGTTGTAGCTAACGATGGGCATTACATTGGTTAATGTACATTTCGTTTTAATTTTGTAATAAGTATGTTTTTGCACGCGAAAAACGGCGGAAATTAATGCACACACCCAATAGCATTGAAGGCTTTGCCACTGTCACTTGTCACTGCTCCTTGTTCTTCTTCCATCGTTCAAGTGTAGCTTTCTGATTTGCCTTTGAATGTCCTTTGTTTATTAGACTAGGGACCACGACCGCGTTGTTCTTGAAGGCATTCTGGGAATCAATTCAAGAGCAATTAGGAACAGTTTTCGGCGACGTATTTGATAATATGTGGCCTGCTTTGGGATGGCATCCCCATCCCAAAGCCTTTTTTCCGAAGAAATCCTCTCGAAAACAGTCGACATATTTCGAGCTGTCCCAGACGCAATTATCTAAAGCCTGAAGCCACCATAAAAAAGAGCCGTAAATCAACGTTTCCCGTGGTTTGGAAGGAGGCAATGGGAACTCTTGTTAACTTCTCGCATTTTTGCTTACTCAAGATAGCTCAGTTCTTTCCCTACAAGGTGCTGTATAACCTACCTCAAAAAACGATGAAGGGATATGATATGGAAGCAAGATTCTTTTGATCAATCCAGTACAGAGTAATAAATGAGTGCTCAAAATCGATGTCTCCCACCTCTGTAATACTAGAAATTCTAAACCCACCCAATAAAAGGGACACGTGGGGGTTGCACGAACTGCTGTAGGAGCAACACTCTCACGTCATGTCAGCCGAATATGGAGGTCCTGCCTCAACCGTCTCATGAGCCTGATGGTTCACCTTCTGATCACATCCTTCTTCTAGCCCTTTATGCACACCTGTATCGAGACGTTTACCGAAGTAAAGTGGTTATCAATTCCATTTTCCCATAGAGGTTGACAACCATGTGTGTATTCTGATGACGCTCAGTTTGATTAAGAAGTTTTTATAAGCAGAGTTAAGATGTTTTTCCTCGGTGCAAGACGGCAATCATTTTTGCGACAACGTGGTGCTTGTTGCTGGAGAAACACAATTGCCTCTGATACGTTATGATGATTGGGAGACGTGGAAGCTCCATATAGTAAAGAACAAACTTCCAAGAATTCGGCATAAAAATAGGTAAAGCTAGAAGCAAATGGTGAAGAAAGGAGTTGCCAAAGAGAAAAAGGGAGATTGAGGGAGCGTGGCAGTCAGGGTACTGGCGAAGATTGGACAAGACATTGGGAAGATGGAAATG